GCATTGTTGAATGTGCTTTCTATCTGGGAGGACAGCGGGGCAGGACAGAGTGGGAAAGAGAGAAAACCTTGATCCTGCACAAGCACTATCCAACAATAACCAAAATATTCCTGTGTTGCCAGCAGCGTTTTAGCCAACTAAATGGCTGCTGTGAAGAAAATAAACTTCATTGCAGCCAGACCCAGTACATCATCCTCCCAGCGAGGCTGTTCTTTTGAACTGGTGAAGTAAAACTGCCCAAAGCTTGGTGGTGAAAAAAAGCCTTTACCTGGACAACTGCTGTTGCTCGCAGTAGGATTGTTGTAGCTGGATAAATAAGGGAGTTCTAAAGCTTCTGCATCTTTGTGCCCTTGACTGTGTGGTTTGTGTAAAGCTTTGCTGTTCCATAGGTGTGTGTGCATACAAAGAAATAAACATGCACATGATCACAGTTGTTCTCCACTGTTCCACAGAGCAACATCAGAAAGAAGAATATCCTCTGTTTCTTTCTCCAGCCTGAGGAGTAGACAGTGGGATTGTAAAATGATGAAGTACTTGATAATTTAATGACAATTACTTGATATTAAATGCCAGTTCCTCAGAGTATTCACTAGAGAATGTAGTTTCCTTGTTGTGAGATCTTTTGTGTAAAAGAAATTGACAGTTAAATGAATATATTTAACAGACAGGACATTCTTTATTTGCTTTTAATGTCTTTTACTGTTATATTCTTACAGGCCTTACTTGTGGTTGAAGTTGGTCCTTACTTTTGGTCAATAGAGACCGAAGAAGAGAGATGTTCCATCTGTTGGCTGGTTGCTGTGCGTTTTTTCAATGGTGGCAGAAACCTGTTAGGTAAACATGTGAAATATTTTATATTTCTATGCTGACCTTCCCAAACTGTATTTCATGTCCTTCACATGTATGTTTTACTTCATTTGCAACATAACATTCATTCGTATTTTTTTTTAATTCCAAGACAAAATCCATAATTTTTTTTCTCCAAGAGAGAATCAGTGCATCTTCTGAACTTAAAAATGAAATGCTAATCATCTCCAATTCAAGTATTCTGTTTCTGACTCCAGGAACATATAAAGTTCAAAATATTGTCCTTCACATACTGTTTCCTCAAGTTGCGCATTATGTGTGATGCTAGAATGTTTATATAAAGTTTATTTGGTATTTGTCTTACTGATTTAGTTTCTGCATTTTGAGATTCTGAAGTGTAATGTGTTAAAACACACTGTTGTCGAGAGCAGACTGTAGTCCCAGTGTAATACTAGTTTTCTCACTGTTACTGAGAAAATGCACTGTTAACATTGCATTTTGTGGGTAAGCTGGTGATCCATTCTTGCTTATGGAATTCTACTGTTCTGGTTTGTTTCTGTTACTTTTACTTTGACATCCTGCATCCTTTTTCCTCCAATTAGCAGAGGTGCACAGATAGTGCATGGTTTGTTTCAAACTATTGACAAACTATGGAGAAGGGAAATAAGGGGTGCACCACACTTATTTATATTTCACACGTATGTAACAGGATTTGCTCTTGACTCTCCAATGCCTCAGTTTAGGTTTTACAGAAGGTGTTGCTGTTCAGAGGAGTGTATTGGGTTGAATGGCTTTCTGACACCACCAGTGTGTTGTAGACAATTGTGACTTTATGAATGTTTGTGGCTTTTTTGATTTTTTTAACTTTCTGTTAAGGTATAATTTACTGTGATCCTACTGTTTTCTCAGAGCTTTTTGGCTCTTCTGAAATAACTTGCATCGATTACACTTCATGTATGATGCTATGATAGTTTTAAGACTGGAAATAACAATGGTTTTAGTATTCCTTCACTTAAATGGGCATAAAATAGAGCAAATTCTTTACAGTCCTCTGAGTCTTTGTGAATAGGATGAATAATTGAGGTTATACACATAAATATGTGTTTCCTATTGCTTTACTTAAAATCATGTCCTGGTATAAATTCTAACCTGGGTACCATTTTGCTAATATACTGTACAAGATCAACACCACTGGTTTGCACATTTGCATTTTAGATTGCTCCTGCTTGAACGAAAGGCACAATGAGTACCAGTGCTGCTTATTTACAGTATCTGATGCCGTATACACAAGTGTTGTATACTGTCGTTCAGCTGCATTGGTTGAGACAGAAATGCGTTTCTAGTATAGGCACAGCTTTGAAGAAGAGAGACAGTAAAAATAAAGAGGAAGTGAAATGAAATTACGGAAATAGTTAGAGACCATAACCACGCCAAAAAAAGGATAAAATTTATAGTACCGTGAAATTAAATTTCAGCAGGCAAATACGGGTTGAAAGCAAAATCATTGTCTCATGTGAAACTTACAGAACAATGTTAGACTTCTCATTTCATACCTTGTGCTGTTCTGTCTAATCAGATGGTTTGACGTACTGAACACCAGATACACAGTCGTAACAGTGCCTGCTACTTGGTATTTTGATACCTATTCTTTCTGCTGCTTTGTGGTAAATTTGCTATGCATGTATTAAAAACTTAATAAGTGATGTCTAGCTAGAGCAAAAAAACTGAAATATCTTTTCTTTTTTTTTTTTTCTCCTTCTGAAGGAAAGTAACACTACTAATGGTAGGTCTTGATAACGCTGGGAAAACTACTGCCATCCGTGGAATTCAAGGAGGTAAGCAAATAATTTGTTTATCATGTAAATGGAGCATTGTAAGAATATAATTACTCACTCTCCATCTTTTTAATCTAAAAATATTGCTTCATCTCTTAATTTATCTCTCCCTCCTATATTGTTGAAAGAAAATGTTGGTGTTGGTACTCTTCTCAAGATTCTGGTAGCCAAAGTGGGCATGTCACAGGCCCCGTTGTGTGAAGACTTGCAGATGAGAGAAAAATTAAGGGGTCTTACCTTTGAAACATAAAGATCCTGATTTTTTTGATATCCGGCAAGTCATGCGAGGATGACTTGTAAGGTGGGTGCTCTCAATCAAGTGCTTTATGCGCAGAAGTGGCAGAGCAAGCTCTGCCTTTGCTCACTGGCCACTGCACCGTCATTCTGAGCTGATGTAGGCCAAATCAATGGTAGTTCAGCAACACCAGCAGCAGTTGAAGAGCAAAGTCGCTACCATTCTGCTACATGTTTTTCAAAGGTAATAGTATGGGTAGAAGCAAGGTGGATAATATGGAGAGAGCTGCCTCTGAAGACATTGCACCGTTCGGCATTAGAGCCCTTAGTCCACTGAGACAGCCGTAGTTAGTCTACAGAGGTGTTTAATTATCTAGTAAATGCCAAGACCAAATGTTCAGAGTACCCTGGTGCTCATATGCCTTGAGTTGACCACTCTATTAATTATGCAAAATGCTAAATTGCAACAAAATCCGTTCTGGGTTCCTGTTTAAATTTCATGAGTATCATAGCATATTTTTGGATTACAGGAAGGTTTTTTTCATTAGTTCAATAAATAGCTGAAGGAGCACTGTAGCTATAAGCAAGCCATCTGTCTCCGTAAGTGGCTTTAAGTGAAAGGAAGTGTAGGCAAAAGCTCGAAGGCTGTAGACCACACTCTAATTAATAATTACTTTGAATTAAAGCAGGGATGCAGGCTCGTTCATGAGGGAGTTGGTGGGTTTGTTTAGTTTTCCCGGGCTTGCTATCGCTGATAGGGTTCGTTCAGAATCTGCTGTGGCAGCACTTGGGCTCCATGTCTTCAAAATAAAGTTGGTTGAGTTTTGAAGCTGTACTAATTCACAAAGGGGGGTCCCGGACCCTTCTCTTCCTGGAGTCCTGGCTTGCACTATTCTGGCCGAGGGCTCCGTTCCAAATCCTCGTCTTGGCTGTGTGTGAAGGATTCACTTAAAAAAGGAGCGTGGTAGCAGAAGGCTGGTGATGATTTAGCTTCTGCACTGCTTTTCAGAGCTCAGTGCTTTTGACCATCCTTCGTTTCTTCCTCTCAACAAACTGAATTTTACATCTCTTTCTCCTACCTTGTGCTACCAAGGTACAGACAACAGTTGCAGAGATCCAATCAACTCACCGCTGCAGACAGAGCTTGGTGGTGTGAGGCAGATCCAGGCTTTCTTTGCCTGCTGGAAAGGGAGGCAGCAAGCAGAAGTACTAAATATAAAGCTATAGTTTGTTGGCATATTGCATGTCAGACTAAAAACCAAAAAAGAAACACAAACTAAGTCCAAAATGAGATCTTGAATAAAGGGGATCAAGTAGTTTACATCTCAGAAGAACATGGTTTCAGTCACATGGTCTCAGCCCTTGGTTTGAACTTTTGAAGCTGTTTTGGCACCCATGAGGGATAAAGAATAAATTTGGCAGGGCACAAGGCTTCCCAGGTTACAGTGCATTAACTGTTTTGTTTGTTTTCCTTCTCAAACTTGGATTAATACCATGCAAATGCTATATCTGTTCAGATGGCATCACTGGTGATGAAGGAGAAGGTAAAAAATGCAGTACACTGAACGCCACTGCAATATTAAAAATCATTTTTTTTTAAACTTTTCTTCCTTCTCCCTGCGCTTTTTTCCCCCCCAAAAAAGGTGCTCCTATCTAAATGGATGTAAAATAACTGGTTGACAGACTAGAGTGTTAATTTGAAATTACCTGAGGAGAGGGAAGACATTAATGCAAAAAAATGTGGATAGCAATATGGTGTTACTTAATAGGGAGGGTTTGATCTGTGCTATTAAAATACAAATTTTGCTACACAAATCACTATGTAAAATCCTCCTGAAATAACTAAGGACACTTTTTTAATCAAGGCTTTCTTCTTTGAACTCTGACAGAGTCTTTTGAAGACATAATGCCAACAGTTGGATTTTCCAATGCCCACCTAAAAGAGGGACGCTTTGACATCACCTTATTTGATGTAGGAGGTGGAATAAATATTAGAAGTATCTGGAAAAATTACTATGCGGAGGCCTATGGCATCATATTCGTTGTGGATTCCAGTGATGTTGGAAGAATGGAGGAAACGAAGGAAACCATGGAAGAACTTTTAAGCCACCCTAAGATATCAGGAAAACCGATGTTGGTGTAAGTAATAATAGTTGGGTTTTTAATAATCTGAAAATTTGTAAATGTTGACCTTCTATACACCTACAGAAGTATTTATGTAGAGTATAAACATTATGTATAAAGCACACTAATACTGCTGTATCTCTGACACTAAGCAATACTACAATTAGTTTTACAGGTTTTCTGAATTATTTATTTATGCCAGTCTAAGTATACTGGTGAACAAAGCCTTTTCCTTCCGTCTTTCCCTCCTGAGTTTTACATGGTGATATACTGAACCCATTCCCTTCATCTGACATTAGATGTCATTCTCATACTGACATTCTCAGGGGGATTTATTTCTCTTCTCTTTCATTAGCAGTGGAAAAATAATAGTTTTATGGTTTGGTGGAGGTTTTTTTCCCTTTTTTTTTACTGCTTTGTTGGTGTGTTTGGGGTTTTTTTTAAATCTTTAAAATTCTAATATTACTTGAAATGTTGTGATAGCTTAAAGGCTTTACAAGTTTGGCATGGTAACATGGTATGAGAATCATGTTACTGTTTAGGCCTACATCAGTTACTTAGATCGTAAACGGTTAATTATATTCTGCAATACCAGCAATCTCTCAGCAATAAATGTCTTGTTCACTTAACGCATGGTGGTGCTGCTGATACACGATCAGCAGAATCTCATTACAGAAGGCTTACTTTAATAGTATTTGGCATGTACATTTGTTCCAGTGCGTATGTTTTAATTAAAAAAAAAAAAAATTAGTTTCAAAAGGTCTAGAGACATCATTTCACAGAACAGGCAGATTAATGAGCTTCTCTACTTAAAAAACAGGTTTTGTAAAATATTTGAAATAGCATATTTTATTAAATTCAGCCACAGAAAAGGTCTTTGAGAATAAATACCCTTTCGAAGTTACATACTAAACTATGAAAGGTTAATATTGTTTATCAGGATAATATCTTTATGTCTGGTGGGCATAAGACCTCCATAATGCAGTAATTACCCACCGTTTCTGTGATATCATAAAGAATCTGTACATCTAAGAGGGGAGGCCTTTTAAGTAGTGATGCTCTGCTGGTTTGAGGGTGAAACTGGCTAATCTCTTTTGATCATGTGGAGAGTAGTTCAGCAAGGTAATAGTGTGTATGTTGAAAAATAGATTAGATTTTAATTTCCATTGCTATCTTAATCTTAGTATGGGGAAGGCAATAAAAGCAACTTAATGCAGCCAGTTTAACTCAAACCTGCTCTGAAAATGCAACTGTGACAGTTGAAACTTTGCAGTGTTGCTAAATAAATACAACTTTAGGTTGGTTTTTTTTTTTCGCTATGCCTTAATGCCATAATAGAGTTTATTTGGGTGGCTGGCTGTACCTGCAGAGAGCCCACTGGCTTCCCTGGGACTTGATCCTGCTTTTCGATCCATGTCAGTAGCTAATCAGAAGGCAGAGTGAATTAACGGAGTCTAATGGTGACTAAACTAAGTTTGTTGATGTTATTGCCCTCTAATTGATCGAGACTCAAGCCTTTGAACAGAATTTGCTCTTGCAGTATCCCAGTTCTGTGGAGGGATCCAGTAGTGCCTTGTTTTAGGCTCCCTTTGCAAGCCTGCATCCTGAGCTGTGAATTCTTTCCTTTATTGTCTTTGTTTTCTGCTTGGTGCTTGTGTTCGTGGCAGAGCTATGCTACTCTTGGCACGTTCAAATCACGTGAACCATAGAATTTGTTCCAGTATTTGAAGCTCTTCTTATATTGTGAAGCCTGAAAGTTGTGAGCGGGAAGGCGTGGTCAGTCAGCACTAGTGTGGTATGGAGTGCTTAGCAAATCAGATTAAACTGGTCCCATACACTGTCCCTTCCCTGACGATGCCTTGGGATGGAGACACAAATCCCCGTCTTTCATGCTTGTGAAATAAGAGTTCTGTGGCATAAACCTTTTTTCCCTTAAGTCCCTGAAACAGAAAAATGAAAACTTAGCAGAATAGAGGAAACAGCAGATTTCCAAATTTGCGCTGAATGTTAGCCTTTTTTAATACGTCCCTCCGCTAAGGATGTTCAGCTTTTGGTTTTGGGCTCTTTTTTGTGTGTTATTGTTTTTGGTTGTTTTTAATAATGAGATGCTTGGTATCCACATAGCATTAAATTCCCTAATATCTTGCCAAGTTTCTAATTAGTACATTTTAGTCTGTACTTGTATGTGTGAAGGCCAGTATTGAGTGAAAACAATACAGTGACCTCTGAGTATTAAATCCAGGGAAGTTGACATTTGTTTGCTCTTCTGCATAATTCTGTAACTTAAAAAAAAAAAAAAGAGGAAGTTTTTTTGGTGATTACTTCAGCCTGCATAATTTCTGTGTTAGTAATTTTGAATACTCAACATGAAATTCTCATCCTGTCACTCTGAAGTTTCCACTGGTCTTCTTTGGTTTTCTCTCAATTCTTCTGCAGTGCATTATGTAGGTTCCTGTTTTGCCATTTTCTAGCCACTATACAGCTGAAAACTACTGTAATTATTTAGTTGCGTATGGATAGTCAGCTGTCTTCCTGGGTATTACTGAAACTTTAGTTTTCTTCCATGGTTTAAAGTACAGCCCTTGTTTAAGCAGACCATATCTACTTCAAAGAAACATCTCTGTGGTGTGAGGAGGAAGGGCTAGCCCTGGAACACATTTCTCTCTTGGATAAGGGTGCTTGTTTGAACACTCCTGCATGGGGGATGCTTTGTAAACAGGTGGTGTTTGCTGTATTTTGGTTTTCTCATCTGTCAATGCTGGCTGCAATAATCCTTCACAGAAGTACAGTAATGCCTTTCTTTTTAAGGGCCCAGGAGAGAAGGAAAGGGCTATCTGTTATGTACATTTACATACATGTATATGTGAAGGAGCATGTTGGCCACAGCAACGTTTTTCTCTGTATCGCTTATTGGCTAATTTCTACTCTGCCCTTGGAATGTAAAGGTAGCTTTCAGATATGTAACAGTTAAAGGAGATTATTTAACAGAATATCTGTGCTGTCATTATCTAATTTCATTTTTGGTCGCCTCTGTGTAAATAATCTTTTTCACTTTAAGGTTCAGATCTCTCACTGTATTTTGATAACAGTTCATTTCAGTTGCAATTTTAATGGAAGGAATCCATTCATTTATAGATATCACAATGTGAAAATAATTCAGTGGTGCCTTTTCTTAGTGGTTTGATTTTCCCCCCCACCTCCCCACCCCAGATGCCATTAAAGACATCTAGCTCACTTAGTGCCTTGCAGAATTGCAGCGTACTTTGGTCTGACTTCTCTGACTGCATCCAGATATAGTGGTATTGACTGTGGCTTTGCACACAGAAATACATTCCTGGTTTGGTGTTTGGTTTTAGTGTGGGGGTCTTTTTTCTTTTCGGAAATAACTTTTTTGTCTCAGTTAGGTTGTTATTTTCTGTTAAATTACATTAGAGCACTTTTTCTCATTCAGTTCCAAAAGGGGTTGGGTATAGGGCAGAAACCCATCATTGGGATTATGGAAAGCAAGAGCACTCTGCATCTCCTTACTTCTCTTCACTACAGAAATAACTGCAAAATAAAGCAGTGGTATACTTCCCCTCTTGCGAATTCATAAAGAACACCTAGGGCATCTTTGGGGGCAGGTGGAGTCAATGCTCTGTTTTAGGCACTCAGGGAGAGGCATTAATATTTACTACTTTAGGCATTTGTTTTGCTTACCTACATGAGGATCCTAGGCTTCTACAGTTAACAGAGTATTATGGAACTATTTAGAGTTCTGGAAACTCTCAGCTAGTTCTCCTGGCCACACCTGTAGCAATACAAATAAATGCATATCCTATACTGTGTCTGGATCTGGACTTCCCACTGCAGGAAGGCCATGAAGACAAATGTTGATTATGTGACTCACTACAGTGAGTCCACGCTGCTCGGGTGTTGGAGTGTGTGACGTAAGCAGAGTCAGAGAGTTGTGTTTGTTTGGACTTAAGATGAAGAAACTAAGGGAGATTGGTATCTTCCTGCTGGTAAGGTAACAAAACAAGGCTCTTCGCTGAGGCATGGTGGTAGGATGAGAAGTGGCGGACAAGAGCTGCAATCAGGGGAATTCCTGTCTTGATTTGAGCAAGAGGTTGGTCTGGATGTTTCCTGGAAGTTCCTTCCAACCTAAATCATGGTTCTAGGTTACGTTTATTTTTATAAGGGTGGAGTCCTTGTTTTTCCATTTTGTTTTTGTACTAGCAAAAGACAGATGGCAGGAGCAACTGCATATTTAGATAGGCTAAGAACGTGTTTTACACTGTGTAATAAGGTATCGTATTCCTTTATCCTTACCTGGTAGGCGTCTGCCTGTGTAGCTGAATAATGTAAATATCTCTATGTCAGTTTATTAATGCATGGCTTCTCAGCAGGCTACTAACAAATATCCCTGTAGGTCTGGTGATGTAGTCTTCTGCTGCTAGTGATCTTTAATATGTTCAGAAAATACAAGCTCAACACCCTTCTGTATGAAGTACAGCGTGGTGTTATTAAAATACATATCCCAATGTCTGTTTTGCATTCTGTAAGATAGGGCACACTGTCCTGCTATAACGTGAGCATTATTTCGTGGTGTTATGTAAGTAAGTAAGATTTTAAATAGCTTTTCCTATAAGGGAAGTATTGAAACACTCTTAATTACTGATTTCTGACTTCCTGTTTGGTTTAGGTACCGTGTTCTGGATTGTTAACTAATGACATCTGCTTTATGTGTAGATTCTACTTCTCTTTTTTTGTAGAATTTCAGATTCCGGGGGAAAAAACCCTTAGAATTTGAACCAAGTAAATGTGAGCGCTAAAAAAAACCCACAAGGCAATTAAAATATTAATTATTATTTTATAAAAGGTATCTAAACTGTTCTTATGAATTCTGTCTTTGAGATTAACAGTATTTTCACTGCTTCCCAAAAGCACAGGTAGTTTGTTGCCACATTGTTTTAGCTTGAGTGGAAGAACAAAGAAGTGTCACTTTTGTCCTTTGATCCTCTCCCCTAGTTCACGTGTTTCTGTGAAAACCATAAAATTCTTGGCATTCTTTTAACTCTTGGGAAAAACAGATGCAATTCCTCCTGAGAGCTCTGTGGAAGAGGAGATGCAAAGAAAAATGAAGCGGTCGAGGGATCCTGAGACTGCTTTACAAGATCAGTTGCCTGAATAGGAGCCGCTGGTATTTCCAGCCGTTCATGTCTTTGGTCATTTGCAGCATGGACAGCACCAGCAGCATACTGCTTTGCAAGGGTTTCTGTTGCGGTACTTGACTGCAAGTCCAAATTTTTCTTTAGATACTTGAGTGTATTCCTGAGTGTTGTTCATACTGATTTCAATGTTGTTGATCATCTCCCCTTGCTCCTCCACCAGAACTGATATCTGGATGAAAAGTTCCTGTAAGTCTTTGATCTGGTTCTCCAGACTGACTAGTTCTTTGTGTCTCTGTTCAATCTCCGAAAGCTGAGCTTTGGTGATTTTGACTTCAGTGAGTAGATTTTCATTGAAAATCTCCCATTTTCCTTGTTGGAGCATGTCATTGACTTCTTCCTCGGATACCTCTTTACCAGCTACTTCAAGCTGACGGACAATAAATCTTCTGCACTTCTCCTGCTTAGCAGTTATAGCGTCATTGTATGAGAGCATAGCGTTTAGGTAACGGTGGGATAAGAAAGCGTGCTGGGAAGATAGAATTCTCACTGTAGCACGTGATGGCCCATGTTCATTTTCAGCTTTTTTTACTGTTTGTGCCAGTTCATCCAAACATTTACGTATGTGCTCTGCTTGACTTTTTATTTCTCTTGCTATGTTTGATTCCTTTTTCAGAACACTGAATCTTCGCATTGAAGATACTAGGCTTTTTTGTTGTTGACTGAATTTATGAACTTCCTCCACCAAATTATTTATTTCATTCTGAAGCTTCTGGATTTCGTGCAAGTGCCTTTCAGTTACGGGCTCTTTTTCATAAATAATGGCCTGCTGTTCAAACTCCTCCTGCTCTTCTTCCTGTATAGTTGCACCGTTGTTTTCCCCGGCTATCTGTAGTTCCTTAGCTCTCAGTTTAAGTTCTTGGAGGCGGTCCCTCATGGTTTTTCTGTTCAGGTTTTTTTCCCCTCTTGCAACACAGGGAGTTAACTCCAATATCTTTTTTCTTGTTTCACTGTAATCAAAGTAACAACAGTCAGTGTTAGCAGTTATATGTATGTAGGCAAAGTAGTTTTGGAGATTACAGCTACTTCCCTCTGCACGGAAGTAAAGTAAAAGTCACAATTGGAAGTGGTGGGTACTCTGAACAAATGTACGAGATAGGTGGTGTTGGTGCACTCCACCATTTAATCCAGTTTCTGTGGGACTTAATCGTAACCTAAAGCTTTTAATGTATCTTCTGGTGGGTAAAGTTAACCGTCTTCCCTCAGCTTCTTCACTGTGGTGTTCTTTCCACATACAATTGTTTGTAGCCCAAGCCCGTTTTTGTGGTAGATTTGCGGTGTAGAGTCCAGACCTTAGAACGATGAGGAATACAGCAAGTGGAGAGGACTTTTATTTTGAGGAGGAAGAGAGGAGTAACTCAAATTCTTATTTTATTTAAATTCCTTCTTTGATAAAAACTAATCAACTTTTGAGTCTTTTGGAAACAGAGGTGAATCTGCTGCTCCATTTTGGATTCTTGGTAGGAAACACACACTTCAGCTTTTGAGGGTGTGAGACAGAGACTATCTAATGAATCAGTCTGGCATGAATAAGATACTTCAGGCTTTTAGTTTAGCCACATGGAAAAACCTTTCTCTGTTTTCCTTGCCTTCCCTTGCCGGGCGAGTTAAACTGACAGTGACTGGTGCAGTTAACTACAACAAAACAGAACAACTGAACTCTAATAATTTAGTGTTCTGTTTTGTTTTTTTTTTAAATATCTGAATTTTCATAGAGGTGGATCCATATCACTAATACTGCAGCTTGAAGATTTTCAAAGACTTTTTTGGATTACTGTCATCTATTTTTACATTGTCATTTGCAGTCTTCATATAATTTATGCAAATGTACTTTGTGCACCATAGTGGAATACAATTCAGTGCTATTTCCTATTTAGTAGAAAGTGGATTTAGTTCTGTTTTCTACCCTAGCTGTTGTGCAAGCTTCCCTAGAAGTATAATTAAGAGAAAGTTTCTATTGTGTATGTTTTAGAAAATACCTAAGTTCAACTATTTTTAATTATAGAGAAGAAAGTGTTTTCCTCAAACTTCTCATGATTGTTTTCCTTGGACTGTGATCAAGAATGGAAAACATCAGTAAAAAGTAAAATGTTCAGGACTAGAAGATTATGGGATTTTTACTTGGGGCCTTCTGGTTAAGTTAAATGTGTGCCTTTCAAAGGGCTGTTCAAGCGTAAATGTCAAACAGTATGGTGGTATCTTTTGGCTGGTTTCACAGGTTTCAGGGCAGTCTTCTGAAACTGGAGTTTTATAGGTGCATTCCTTAAACCCCAGTCCTAAAGCTTATTTCTATTTTAGTAAGGAAATGCAGTTTTTCGCTATAGTATTCGAAAGGATGCATTTGTAATAACTGCAAAGGATCAATCCAGTAACCTGTCAATATGCAAATGATTTTGTTACATTTGAACAGCTTCAGGTGATACTGCTGTGGTATCTCTGCTCTCTTATGTATATTTGAAGTCCCTAACTAGATTTTTGCATAATATAAGTCATGGAGTTGAACAGTGTAAACACGTCTTCCACAGGCTTATATGTGGCTGTCTGCAGGAGGATTAGCTGAAAACAAAACTTGAAATGCTACCGTGACGTGAGAAAGAATGTTGATATTCTGCCCTAGTGTGGATTTCCCTTACTTCTCTCCCCCCCCCTCCCCGCCCTGAGTGCCTTAATATCTGAATTTAGTGTTTGTTGACTCACATCAGGAGAATCCAAAAAGCCTGGCAGCCATTAGAAGTTATGGTACCGTACTGAGACTTGTGATTAGGCAAGCTTGCAAGCAATTTATTGTCAGACATTACTTTGGAGCAGGGAAAATGCAACACGCATTGATTCTGTTACAGCAATTCCCGTTTGCTGTGCAACTCGCTGCGTACCCCCCCTCCCCAGCAAAGTCAGGCAATTCCTTCAGGTAACATTCTTTAGAAATGCTTCAGAGCTGCTTGGCACCACCAAGACTGCCGCGTGGGAAGATCAGTCTGGGGCATGTGACAGGAACCCCGAGTGCTAAACAAGCTTCAGAGAAGTGACCTGAAAATCTGTTTTAGTGTAGCCTATCATGTCTGTTGACCCATGTTAATTCAGCATTGCTTGACAAGCTTGTGATTAAAAGCAAGTTCCAAGGGCACCATAAATGCTTATGATGTGAGGTGGCAAGACTTTCTTGTATCTAAAAGAATGCAGGTAATTACTGAAAAGCTCCAAAACACGCATGCGGTCATCCAGTTACCCCTTCAGAGCACAGTACAGTTTCTCAAAAGGGTAGTTACCAATTTTTCATATGATTAACCTCCCATGGTTTGGAAGTAAGTTGAACACCGCATAGGAACTATACAGGGATTCATCTTCAATGTATGTATCCACTAATGGTTGGCATCTACTTTTCAATGTTTTGGGTGCATTGGTCTTGAAATAGCTGTATTCCTTGGAGGGGAAAAAAACAAGCCAACCAACCAATCCCCAGGCAAACAAAAGAAAACAAACCCCAGAATTGCAAATCTGCAAATATCCTCAAATATCAAGCTTGCAAAGAAATAAACAGAAAATACTTAAGATTGGTGTTAAGGAACTATTTTTTTTTTTCTTGTTTAAACACCAATTTCACTAGAGAGTGGAATGTAAGCAGCTGAACCCTAGTTTCCTATCTCATCTCCTATCAGGCTTGCCTTCAAAACCTGCCAGTGAATGTGCTTGCCAATAAATGCAGTTGATTATACTGACAACTGAAACACGTGCTGGTTTCAAATAAATAAGGATGTCTTCAGGACAAAGATAACCTTGGAAATTGTTGGCTTGACTTCTTGATTGTTCCACAACAAGCTTTGTTCATATATGTTTTTGTTTATATGTATAGGGGCACATCCTGTTGTTCTTTTGATTGAGGTAAAAGATCTATTTCCTTGAAGCTTTTGTCAGTAGAGGGAGAATATGCCTATTCTTTTAGGCCTATTCTTTTAGAGTTGAGTAAAGGGAATGTGGACTGAAAGCACTCCAGTGACTTAGGGTGTCCCCTACATTAAAACCAAGAGATTTTAAAAGGTGATCATTCTGAAGTGCTAAAGTAGCACAGCCTAGCACATTCTCATCAGACTTTTTCTTCATCGAAGGTAGGAAAATTTTGGTTAAGAGACTTACTGCAGTAAAGACAAAGCAAATCAGTAGATGGGAAAGCATTAGTTTGCTAAACTGTAGCTTCAAATTATTGAGAATATTTAGAATGGCCCTAAATGCTCTTACACATATAAATCTGAAGAGCATTGGTGAGGTCTTCCCATGTTGCTGGCCATTCCTCAGTCGTAAATGCTGCAGTGTCATCTGTTACCAGACCTGTTACTGTTAGATAGTTGACAGGTTCAGAAATGCCATTTTCACATTCTTGCCAAATACATTTTAAGGGTATTGCAAGAGATAACTCTACTGTGTTGCTCATCAGGGTTATAAATCTCTCCAGTCAAACTGCTGACAGATGTCACTGGGAAAGTCTTTATAATGACAATTACCTCAGCACACTGACTAGGGAAATAGTAGATCCTGCTGACTAGACCACCATTATTAATCTGTCATGATGATAAAGTATGTCCTAAATGCAATGATAAAGAATTTGATGGAAATTAAAATTTTTATATTATCTTCTATGTTTTTTAAGAAAGAAAAAAAACCCAAAAAAAACCCAAAAAACAAAGCAAGTTGAAAGGTCCCTTTGCTTAATTGCAAAGCAGCCAGATAGAATGTTCTTCCACCTATCTAATTTATCAGTAGACCCAGTAAACAGGGAGCCTACATCCAAACATGAGATTTGGGCTGCATTGTTAAAAAGCATAAAAGGCTATATGTGAAGTTGATAAGTTGATTATATGGAACTCTTGTTACTGGCTGTAATTAGATTTAATGGCTTCTTTTGTGGCTTTGATGAATTGCTTTATTTCTTCCCCACCCCCCGACTTACCAAAACCTCCTGTTTATTTTAATTTCCATAGTTTTGTTCACTATTTCTTGAACCTTCATAAAATGGCTGGCATAAAAGGCTCTGTATGTATTTGATCTTTGATGCAATTTGAATGCCTTCTTCCATGCATTTTAACATACTGTGATCCACTAGAAGAGGACTTGCAGGCAACAAAGGGACAGAATTCTGTCTTTAAGAGATCTTTGAGATGTATGATGTGTGCTCTGCATCATACTCCTTTCTTTACCTCTTTACCTCTGCTGAAACAGCACTGCCTTTTTTTTTTTTTTTAAATGATTGCAACCAAGAAAAAGGGTCAGTTTGTTTTCCTGTTCCTTAGGGTCAGTTTGTTTTCCTCTTCCTTAGTTATGGTCAATTACTGGCACAGGGTAGATGATAAATAATCTTATTTGGGTTTTTTTTAATTATTTTTTAAATCAATTTCCAGTCTGCAGTGAAGTTGCATTATAGCTCTGTTAAATGGTGCTAGCAAACCCATGTAACTCTTATTTTTGAGCAAGATGGCTCTGAGTAATGTTTGGAGTCTCACTCTGGTCTGGAGCTAGGTTACCGCTTTAAATGTCTTAAGTTTAGCAACAAAAAATTAGTGACACATGTATACCATTTAAATGCCTAGAGTTTAAGATACCTATAGCAGTCTGTGTGGAAAACCAGGGGTTTGAGTTGAAATTTCAGTTTGAGTTGAAATTTGTTCACTCCAGAGGCTGTACTGTGTTTTGTATGTTTTCACATGAGAAGAAGGAACTTGTTTGATAGTGTTTTGGAATCTTGCCCTATTACCTGAAGATATATCTGAGGTAACGAAAGTAAGCAATCTTGCTACAGGCTACCTTTGTTTTCTGCTTTGTTTAAAGTTCCCTTTAACTTCAATACTTTGTAAACAAACATGCTTAAACCAAGGATTATCACACAGC